TGCTCAGCAATTTGTCTCTGTGTCCATCGATCTGTTTTTCTGGTGATGTATCGGTCTGGCAGCAGAGGTTTCAGGATATTGGTGGCCTGATACAGTCCCCGAGCCAGCCTGGAATTAGTGTGCCTGCATTCCCATTGATCTGCTGTTAAGTGACCAAATCCTGGGCCCCTATAAAATACGATCGGCTGGAAATTGATGCCCGCTGCAATTGTGCAGTGTGTGCTAAGACTCCACTGTGTGTAACCTTTGATATTCGAACACACCAGCTGCAGGTCTCAGGCTCTGTAAATAACTCGGATGCTCTGCAGCTCAGCTGGGACTGCATTCTGGTTGCTAAGTGCTGAACAAAATAGTCAGAAAGGCAGTGCCTGATCCTCTGCTTCATTTGGCAGAGCTGCTGCCCTGCAGTGAAATGTCCACTACTGGAAACTGCAATTCATCCCACTATGTCTGCATGTCAGTTTTCACTTGCATGCAAGCAGGGCAACAAAAAAAAACATAACTGAGGCATCTGGTATACCAGTATCACTAAAACCAACAAATACACATGGATTTCAAATTACAGCAACAGAATAATACTAGAGGAATTCTTCTTCAGTATAGATAGAAGTGTCTATGCCCAACAATATTGTTGTACAAAAGCTACATGACAATGACTGTGCTCTATATAGAGATTGTGGTCACAAAATGAGCATCTGTGTCAGACCTTGCACGTCGCACAAAGCCAGAGTTATAAATCCCGCTATGTTGTAGTCTGCTCTGTTTTGTGCTTTGGGCTGTGCCACAGATGTATTTGCTATGTCCAGGCTGCAGCCCATTTTATTTCAGGGCAGGGCTCTGAACCTGCCTGCCAGCAACAAACTGGTTTTGGAAACTCCCAGTCTGGAGATCACGCAGGAGGTGCCCAGTCCATGCAGGCTGGCAGAGGGCACTGAGGGACAGGTGTCTGCTGGTGGTGGAGGGGTGGGCCTACACCTGTGTACTCACCCCAGCCTCAGGGGGGCTCCCCTGCCCACCTCGCTCGGGTCCAGCAGAGAAGACGACTCCTCCAGCAGCTCGGGGTCCGCCATCTGCTGATGATGATGATGCAATTCAGCCTGAATTCACAAACCAATTAATAGCTAATGAAGCTCGTTAGTGACATGCGGCCACAGGAACCAGGAGTGAGAACAAGAGGAGAAAGAGACAGCTGGAAGACAGAAGCCATGAAGGGATGAAGAGAAGAGATTTGGGAGGAACAAAGAATAAAAACGCGGTTCAGAGGAGATTGTTAGTACAAGAACGCAACCAGCCATGCACACAAATATCAAATGAAAAAGTCATACAAACGGGGACAGAACCCAGCATCAAGGCTAGGGCCTCGAGCCTGCTGTCTGTCGTTTGTCCAGTTTCGGTTTGCTGGGAAGAACCAGTAAATTGCTCAAGGCTAGCCAGGACAGCTCATGCTGCCACCTATGAAGACGACACTTCTCCCACCCACAAGGATAAAAACATCAATTTCTTTCTTTACATCGTAGTTTCCTTTGTTTTTCTTTGCTTTTGACAAATATTGCAGTAGGGGTCACAGATGTGTAAAGATTTTGAAATATATACAGACGTGCACTAAATGTGAACCTGCAGTGATTGCATGATATTTGCATTTTTAGAATTAAAAAATGTGGAGTGTGTACATAACATCTTTGAAAGGCAATACAGGGTTTGAGCACAAACAAGGAAATAGAGAGTTAAGAATATGCACACATTTTGAAATAAGGGGTTTGAGAAACCTACTGCTGTCCTAAATTAAGGAACAGCAGTCACCGACAAAACCCCTCATTAAACAGTTCTGAATACTACAAGGAAAACCAGATCCCTTTCAATTTCAGCAAACAGCAAAAATCCCGTCAAAGACTAGCAATAGAAACTGAAACTGGTGTTGGATCCATTTCAGGTTCTGTCGGAAAACATTTGCGAACTGCATATGCAAAATGCACAACCTTGCAGACCCTGTTTCGAATTGCAAAGTGATTTAGCAACGAACTCTTGCCCTTGCTATTGGTTTAAGAAGAAAGCACAGTTAAAAGACAAATTTCAAATAGATCTACAAAGAAGGGGAACAACTACACAATCCATCAGCCTGTATCAATATATGCAGTGAAGGCATTCAATACCGAATAGCATCAAATATCGAATACCATATTGTGTGCTTTTTCAGTGTGAAATGTTTCTCACATTTGCACGCACAAAAGAGATGATTTTCAGAACAAACAAGTTTACTTAATGATTAAAGTTGCAGGTGATCTCAGACATGATCAGAGGTCAATCCCATTCATTCATCAGCAAGAAAAATTAAACCCGGACACACCAAGCATGGAGAGAGGAGAGCCCAGAGAGGAGTGCTGAGACAGAGGGCAGGGAGGAGAGAGAGAAGGAAAGGAGGAGTTGTGGGAGGAGGAAACCGCATGCCATTAACAGCTACTTTCCCAGTCTTCTGCTCAGGGGATGGGGGCAGCGTGTTCGCTTGCTCTCAGTTGCAGGACGCGCCCTGACCTCCACTCTTAGTGCCTACTGCTCTCTCAGACATTACAACACACAGAAGACTGGGAAAAGGACAAATATCATTAGATGTCTTAATCCCTGCTACTGTCACCCCTACCCCTCACCACGGGGGGAAAAAAAAGAAATCTGATGTCAAATCATTTTTTAAAACATGCTAAACACCAAGCCCGGGGAAATCTCAAAGCCCCTTTAACAATAAGACCGGGCTTAAACCCCAGACTTTGGTTTGTTGTTTGAGAACCAGAAATGAAGATACATAGAAGTTTGCGGCCCGCCGTGATGGAAGACTGATCGCAAGACACCCCCCTCCAGGCTCCCACCAAAGCAAAATCATTGAAGGCCCCCGTGTAACTGGGAATGAGCGGATAGTGAGCTACAGTGTGCACAACCCAGGCCCGGCCAGAGCGGGAGCCCGAAGAACCTTCCCCTGGGCTCCATAACCCCACCGAGTGTCTGAAAGGCAATGGTTGTTGGTAAAGCACCACATGCAGTTGACTTATTTACTTCAATCTGACTGCCTAACAGCTCCTAAAGAGATAAAGAAGCAGATTAAATAGCTTTTCCATGGGGTAAAGAGCAGCCCTTTACTGCATTGCACTGGTAATGAAATTAATCATTCACCAGTTCTGCTCGTACTGTTAAGTCACCTCCGACACAGGGATCTGCAGTTTCTACATATTTGCACTACCTGTGCACTAGGACAGGACTTGGCTCATGTCTAGGCACAGACTATGGCGATGGCAGAAGCGTGGCTCTGTCATGATGGCGGTGGGAACGCCTTCCAGAGGGGCCAACGAACTTCCTGACCTCGTCGAAGAACTGCTGCGTGCGGCGCAGGATGTGCTTGAGCTCCGTCAGCTCCAGGAAGTTCTTCTTCAGGGCCTCCTGGTTGGTGTTGATCTCCTTCAGCTCGTTCTCCAGCTTCTCGAAGGTGGCCTGCGAGCGAGAGGAGGGGGGAAACCATCAGGACAGACGGAGCTCGGAAGAATGGCCCGGCTTCAGGAGGAGCGCGCTAAAAACAGAGCTCAACCCCTCCTCTCCAGCTTCCTCCAGGGCTGCAGCATTACCTCCAAGTCGATCATGTCCCGAGGAAAGGGCACCTCCGGATTCTCCCCGGTATCCATGATCGGAATGTTGGCTTTCTTTATCTCCTTTTCCACAAACCCTAAAAAAACAAACACGTGCGTTTCAGTCAAATCCTGGGCGTGTACACCTGGCACCTCAACCGCAATCGCACACCAGATGCACCAACACAGAACAGGCTGGGGTCTTTATGCATGCAGGCCAGTTTGCTTGAGGAAGAAAAGAAGCCAGCACAAGCACAGCTAGAAACTGGGAAAGGACCGCGTTTCAGAGACCGTGTGACTGCAGCTGCAGGGCACTGCAAGGAGAGTAAGAAAGTTGTGCAGTGCTGCTTGAATTCTCTCTCTCCGTTTTGCTCAGCAAGGGAAACTCCAAAAGGCACCTGAAGGGGAGACACACTCGCTCATCCCTACCCCATTCGAAATGCAGACAAGGCCCAAACAAAACAGGCTCGGCAAACCAACAAGGAAACTGGGCCGGAAGAAATCCCATCTACTGTACGCCAGTATACACCACTGGCATGGAAGAAATCCCACATACAGTTTCGGGAAGGGAAGGGGCCCTTAAGGTCCCGAGAGGACACTCACGCAGTTTGCGGTCCATCTCCTCGCATCGCCTCACTTCATTGACGAACTTCCTCTGGAACACATTCACGTCCGGGTTGAGCTGCAGGCAAAACAAAAAAAATATTTTCTTACTACCAAAAGCTTGGCTAATTTGTGAAACCCCTTAGCAGCATGATGACGCTGCTGTCCTGGTCGGGGGTTCGGTTTCTGGCTGGAGTACCTTCTGTGTGGAGTATGCATGCTCAAGCGGGTTTTTACCACGTGCCCTAACCAGTGTCTCTAAATTGGCAGTGCTCGTAGGCCTGTCCCACCATGGCCTGCCTTGTCCCATCCAGGGTGTAGTCCTGCCTTGCGCCCTGAGGTTCTGGGACAGGCTCCTAGCTGCCTTATCCTGTTGCGGGACCCTCAGAAGGAATAAGCAGCTTTCTGCCACTCATTCCTTCTGATAGAAGCAGGACAACCAGGTTGCGTTTAGGTACTGCAAGACCTATGACAGCATAGCCACACGTTTTCTATCTGACAGTCTATCTGGGGGTCTATTAACCCCTCCCCAGTGTCCTTTATTTAGCTCCCACTCCTGATTTTCTCCTTTATCTTCTTAAAATATTGGAATGCGTTTGACGGGCTTTAGCCCTCCAACTTCGGGAGCGTGGCAACCGCAGCACATAGTGTTTTCTTAACGGGGCCCGTCACGACTCGGCCAGGGGTTCGAGGGTATAAGACAGCACAAAGGTCTGAGAGAAGTTCCAGTTTCATCACTGAGGCTCATAACCAGGGCAGAGCAGGACAGATTCACGGCACGCCGTCGTGCAATAGGTGGCGATTTTCCTTCACATGAAAAACAGGCACACGAAGGGACTCACGTCGCGGAACTGGACCATTCCCAGCTCCCCCAGCTCACTGACGCAACAGTACGCAGCTTCCGACTGGAGGAAGAGCTGGGCCAGGGTCATCTCCTCGCTTCTGAACAGCTCCCCCATCGCGGCACAGGGGCTGGCGAATCAAGCCCAGTGGGGAATAAGAACCGACGGCTTCTTGCCCTGCTGCTGTCCTAGCTGCTAGAGCACAGAACTACAAGAGAGGAACAGCACTGGTTAGGAGGACAGAAAAGGTGCTGAGAAATCAATTTTATCATTGCAAAACAAGCTGCACTTTGTGTGAAAATGGGCAGTCTGTTTTGTTCTGAATGCATATATCTAGCAAGCACACAACAATACCGGTAACGTATCCTGTTCTACAAAATCACTGGAGCTTCCAGGTCCCATTTAAATAGATTCGGATTGCAAGAACTGTGCTCTCTAAGACTTATTTACCATGATCCCACTACAGGTCTTCTCAGGCCCAAAAGAGAAAAGACAGCCCAGCTTACCAATGACAGCTTTCCTACCCAGACCAACAGGAACCAAAACTTGCTTTTATAAAACCCCAAATGACCTGAACCACAGCAAAGCTTGTTATCAGCAAACCTGGCAAGAAATGAACACCAATGGGGGCTTCATTATACAGCCTGGTATGATTACATTGATCAAAAAAGAGGGACAAATCCACACGGAAAACTTAGTGCACATGCAAAAAAGCATATTAGCCTATTAGGAGCTAGGGTTAACAGCACAGAGCAAACTAATAAAAGCTCTCCAGTTCCAGAATGAAACACTAAGACCCAGCTTTTTGCATTAACAGGATCTAGCTACTCTTTAAACCACTGTATACATCCCCTGTGACCTGACCTGAGCACCGACAAACAGTTGTAAACACAAAATCTGTTCAAGTATATCTCATGAGAAAGAAAACCATAAGTATAGGTTCTGTCCAAGATGTTCTGGTCCACTTAGAGGTGTGAAATTCTCGATATTTTCCAAGACCTCTGGAGTTCTGACAACGGCACCTAATTGTATCTCTTCTAAGCGAGCTGGTCAAACTTCAAGAATATGAACAGGCTGCTGGCTACTGCCGAAAGAGATGCCGTGAAAACTGGCTCAGCCCTGATGAAGTCTTATATGCCAAGAAAATTCTTAGAGGTGGCTACATGGAGCAGTCAAGGAGTCTCCCAGCATCGAAAGAGTGTAGACGGATGAGGAACGGAAGCAATCCTTTCTTGTTTTACATGATGCCTGAGTCATTCAAGGTGGGACTCCAGTCATGGCGTGGCCGGAACAGCAAGCACAGGAAAGCCCAGGTAACCCAGCTAGAGCGATTCTCTTTTTTGTGTGCCCTTGAAAAGCCTCATCTTAATAAAAGGAGGATCCAAACCTTTGAAAATCCTCCAGGCAGAAGGGTAAACAGAGTCACGGTGTGGTGAACGGGCACATAAAAAAGTACATAAAACAGAAAACACAAGCACACTGCCCCCCCCATCCTGTGTGGCAGGGAATTCTGTATCCCTCCAACACCGCCTGTCATTCATGCGTTTGGCCACAGCAGAGCCCCCTCTGAGACCTCTGAGTCCACCTGAAGATTACATCCCCTTCCTGTCATTCCCAAACACCACACTCACCTGTGCATATCACCACACAGGCAGGTCAAAGCTGCCTGAGGCTGGCATCTTTCACTCAGTGACCAAAGGACATCTATTGAAGAAGGCAGTGGCATCTCAGAGCCACTGAGAACAAATTCAGAGGGTTTTGAGGCTACAGGGAAGTAAAAGTGAAAGGATCTAGGCCTTCGTAGAGGAAGCCACATTCTGCATTACACTAGTTTGTTTAAAGCAGTAGTTCTTAACCTTCACCTTCAGCTGGCCAGATCTGTTCTAGCACCCCTGCTCAAAAATCACTGAAGTAGGACAGTTGCTTATAATGAAGTGAAGGTGGGGCTGACAGTCTATGGGCTGCTTTGTTTAGCTTCTCCTGGGCCTGTCAAGGCTGCGAGCACAGGGACAGGTACAAGCCAGAAGACAACACTGGACCTATCCTGTGCATTTTGATTGCTAAAAGCTAAGTGATCCCAAGCGAAAAAACTCAGTTCCCTTGGAGGCCGGGAGCCAGGCAGGAGATCTGCTGCAAACTGATGAGGTGCCCGAACATTAGGAAACGGGGCAGTTCTAGTACTGCATTGTATCCTGACCTTATCCAGGACGACAGCGGGACTCCTACTGTAAGCTACGAATGTAATGCATCAGCTTGGGGGGAGGTTATGAACACCCAGGCGCCTGCACGCATTCACCCACTGCTGCTCATCGCAGAGAGCACCATTGTGCAAGAGTGTGCAGCACTGCACAGCCATCCCGGAGGCTTAAGGAATTACAGACCACGTGACTGTAAGGGTACCAGTCTCGGCACGAGCGAGATGAAGGCTTCAAACCCCGGCACGTCTCTATAATCTGAACCAACAACAGCCCATTACTGCAGTGTTTCATTTAAGGCAGTCAAGAGCAAAAGCCGAACAAGTGGCTCATTCTTATGTCATCACGCAATGGATTCCAAATTATTGAGGCACAGGGGCAAGAGTTAGTGAAAACAGCCTTTCGGCTTCCACAGCAAGACTTGATTACAGTAATCAAATGAGACGCCGCATTATCCACAAATAAAAAAGACATCTTAAAATAGTCACTGTTTATTTTTCTGCGAATCGCCGCTTCAGGTCGGTGTATATTACTGCCAAGGAAATATTATTATGGACGCAGATGTTGCTGTACGAGAAAATGGTGGTTTTAGATCATGCAATGCCGACCTAAAGGTGCCGGGTGAATGTACCTCAAGGGTAAGGAGCCAGGAAGAAATGAAATTGAATCAGCGTTTAAGCCAAATGAGAAACTCACCCCACGCGGCCGGTTAGTCGGTTAGTACATCAAACAAGCCGATTGAAACAGAATGAGTCCTCTATTGTAATACACAAGGACGGCAGCAATTCAAGCCGGGTAACCTAATATGTTTCAATGCGCTGACGTTTCTGCAGCACTGGCGTTTTTTAAAGCAGTCAAGGGGCGCCATTACAATAATATGTCACTTCTACGGTTTTATGTTATTGAGGCGATTCTCAATCGCCTCAATAACATTGGGCCAAGCGACATGAGGGTATAATTTTAGATCACGTTTTTTTTTTCAAAATGGTGAAATACAGTCTTATTCAAACGGGTTTCTTGTCAGCTAGGAAACGCGTTAATAGCATACAGCACTAGTGCCTGGTTCTGCACCTTAATATCCCAAATTCAACCACTGTATGAATGAAAGACAAGGTTTCCTAACGCCATAGTCCATAATCTCTGTGCTAAACTAAATAAAAAGTGTTCTTTTAAAAATATGGTTTCCGAGAATCTCGCTATATGAAGTTGGTACATGAACGGTCGTGTTTAATTAGTTTAAATGAATAAGCTCACTTCACTATTTCTTCATTCAAGGTGAACTGGAAAAGGGTAAATTGTACTTAAGTAAACGATGCAGCAAGTAAAGTGTTTCTTTTTTTCCCCCTGAGGCGTAGGTTGAATGATTACACCTAGATAATGTGTGTGAGGATTTCATAACGAGAACACAACACCTATGGAAAGAGCTTTCACAAAAACAGTAGTTAAAATAAAAGGTATATATGCTCAAAACACACAGCTCGTACACACTGAGATCGGGTTGTGAAAGAATACGGTACTAAGCAGCATTTACACCTTATTTACCGCCGTACCTATGACCTAAGATCGGAGCAAGAAAAAAACACGTAATTAAAAATTCACATGGCACCGTATTTTCAAACGCAATAACAAAGCGAAGACTTTAGAGCCATTTAATCTACTGAGATGAGAAATATAAACAACAATAAGTCAATTTCCTACTGTAATTGAAGCTTTCCGACCCCCTTCTCCAGGAAACATCAGCTGATCAGCCTCTTCGCCTCCACGGCCTGACGTCACGAACGCGTTGACTCAGATCACGTGAGGGGGGGGGCTGGCGCTCCGCTGGAGGACAGTCGAAGCACTGGGCTGGTTATGCCTGTCGCTGGCCGATAAGGTATTTCCATATGGTTACATTGCATATTAAAACACGTCTTGGGTTTAAGTACAGTGTTATTCTCAAAATGAGAAAAGCACGTCAAAATATGCAAAACGTATTGAGTGTTTTAACCACTGCTACCTTTGAGGATGAGGATTTGGTCCCATCTGAAACCAATGGAGTTGCACCTTAGTAATTTGTACCGATATATTATTTGTAGTTTTATTTGAAGTACTGGCTACTTACATTGGCAAAAAGCGAAGCACTTTACGGGGTGCAGACTTTGTGCTTATTTTTTCTCGTTCTTATAAATACGCGTGCATTTAGTCAAACATGAATGAGCGTCTGTAAATGAAGTACATTCACACAACTGTTTTCAGAGAAAACTTGTTTGACAGTCAGCATGAAGGAAAACAGAGGAGGCCATAGGCTGTGAAGATTCAATTACAAACTGGTCTGGAGGTAGCCCCCCTCCCCCATCATCTTGTCAGCTGTTTTAAAAGATTGGTAACACCTGTGCGCTGCTGAGAAATCAATCAAGAAAAACCTGTTCAATTAAGAGAGCTCTGATCCTTGAGAGATGAAGCAGCAAATCCTGGGACCAACACGCCTGCTGGTTTTCCAGCGGAGCTCTTTACTTAACTGGATCCATTGGTTCCATTAAGGCTGATGGAGCTTGTTGAAACATTAATCCTTGCACTTATATAGCACTTTCCTGGTCCAGAAAAGTGTAAGGAATTATTATTATAAACGGGTATATTATTATTATATATATGAACTACATGATTAATAATATGGGGTCAGTATATGTGTTTAAAAGTGCTGTAGTCTTCAGCAGGAAGAAACCGAGATTTTTTACGAGTTTGCTCCTTGTGTCTGATGTGTGCTTTGGCAAGCTACAGACAACTTTGTGAAGAATCTGACACTGATGCTGTAATTAAACAGAAGGATATTTAGAAGCGCCCAGCAGCTAGCTTCATGTGAAAGGTCACAATATTGGTACAAGAAGAAAACAAAAATGAATCGGCAATCGCCTGTGACCCATTCTGGGTTCATTCGTTGCTGAATGGGGCGGCACCTGTTTGTCACACCGCTAAATGGACGCCGTGCTCCGTCCCCCCCACCGCAAGAGAAGAAGACCGCAGGTTCGGAAAGAAAACGCCATCTGGTGGCCATCTGAAGAATAACATCTGCGCAGACAAGTCGGCTTGTACTCCGTGTAGCGGTGTACGGTTGTTCGGTGCAGGGGCTGACACAAAAGCAGCTAAGAGTTGCTGGCTCAGTGCTGGTTATCTCCGTTAGCAAATATTAAAAAAGACTTGTTTTTGAGTTATACACCTATGTCTTGGCTTTCTAGTCCAGTTTTGGTGACTTCTGTGTTTGGTAGCTTTGATAAATATTATAATTTGTTTAATGAGATGTGCATCGGCATTTTCAGTTGCAGCTTTCAAGCGGCTAATAAGATGCAGTCATGAGGAATGAATGTTTGGTGTTTTGGGGAGGCCCAGGGAGTTGAACCCAGACCCTCCTCAGCCACCAGCCAGCACCCTGCAAGACGAGGCACAGCAAGAACCGACTAGCACTGTTGCAATCAATCATCTAGAATCAGTTGAGAAAAGGGCTGGGTTAACAGACCGCTCAGCTGAATGCAGGCGAAGCGCAGGTCGGCAGGGCGAGGATGGGGAGGCCGTGGAGGAGGTTAAGGAGTTTTTCGTGGTGTGTGTGCTCTTGGAGCGGTTAACTCTTTCCTGGGCCCCAGAGCTCTTTATTCCCGTACACGGGGAGGAATTTGCTCCTCGGAGTTGTGGCCTGAAATGTTTTCCCCGCATGCAGCCGAGCCCAACGCCCAGCCTGCTCTGTGGCAGGATGAACCTGCGGTCACCCAGCTCACTCATGTGACCTTGCTGATGAATGCCCCGTGCGTTTCTAAAGAGATCCTGCCCTTTGTACTCGCAAAAACAATGGGCGAGCACCACAGCGAACATCCGAAACTGCTGAGGTTAGGGCCGCTCGATGGGGATGAATATCCCACGTCTCTGTCCCTGCCTCTCCGCCTCTTTCTGCAGCATGGGAGCTCAGAGAGGGGCAGGGAGAGCCTGTCACATCTCACATGCCAGGGGCACCCCCTCCCCATCGCACCCCACTCCCCTAGCTGTTTCAACAGTTTACGCCTTTCCTCATCTCTCTTTCTCAGTTTAATTTCAATGTCCTGGGAAAGGGGGGAAGAAAAAACACTTTGGAAAAAATGATCGGAGCTCTGGCTGCACATTCCTCGCTTAGCTGTGCCTGTGCTTGCATGTACAGAGCAGTCCTCATCTCCTCTCGAACTATTCCAACCATCCCACCCAGGGGGTGGGTCACTCCGGGTAGGGAGGGGGGTGGGGAGGCTGGGCCGGGGCCTTTTCACACTACGGGGTGGAGCCGGCCAATGGGGGCTGCCGGGAGGGGGAGCTAAAAATAAAAAAAATAAAAAAAAAGGTGCAGAAAGATCAGCTTGAAGGGACGGCTTGGCACAGCGGTGGCATTCGAGCCCGAGCGCACATGCTGTAAGTGAGAGAGCAGCTCTCCGCTCGCCGTTTCTCTGGCCCGCGTCCCGGGGTGAAGAAGACAGGAGGGAGAAAAGAGAAGAAGGGAAGAGAAAGAGGGAAAGAGAGAGAGAGAGGGAGAAGAAAGAGAAGGAAGAAAAAAAGAGAGGAGGCAAACCAAGGGGAAGGAAGACCTTGAATCGAGGTGGCACCTGGAGAGAAGGGGTTGATTCGGATTTGAAACTCGGCTGCTGCTCCTGTAGATTTTTTCTCTGCGCTCCCCCCCCTACACCCCGAGATCGACAGCCATGGCCGATTCTAGCCTGGACCTGGAGCGCGTGGCCCTGACGGACCTCTCGGACGACGAGGCGGCCGGCGACGAGCCGGCTTCGAAGGCGGACCAGCAGGTGAACGGGGTGATGGTCCTGACCCTGCTGGACAAGATCATCGGGGCGGTGGACCAGATCCAGCAGACCCAGAACAGCCTGGAGCAGCGGCAGCAGGAGATGGAGGGGGCCGTGACGGGCATCCAGAGCGAGCTGACCAAGCTGGCCAAGAGCCACACCACCACCAGCAACACCGTCAACAAGATGCTGGAGAAGGTGCGCAAGGTGAGCATCAACGTCAAGACCGTCCGGCAGAACCTGGAGAAGCAGGCGGGCCAGATCAAGCGGCTGGAGAGCAACGAAGCGGAGCTGCTCAAGAGGCGCAACTTCAAAGTCATGATCTACCAGGTAAGCTGGCTCCTCCGCCGAGAGCTTCGCATTCAGTTGCCCTGCTCGCTCCTGGTGCATTGCATTGAGGGGGTGGGTCATTGGGGGTAGATTTAGCATAAGCCACCTGCTGTCTGAATTCAGCAGCAATGTACAGAAATGCCCACTGGCACCCAGTGCGAACAGGATAGGTGCTAGAGGTCTGATAAAGCATGAGGTACAATAATTACAAGACAAAGTAAATTCACAATCCAGTCAGGGTAGCACTGTGAGACGCTACAGACACCAGAAACGCCGTGCGGATTCGAGCCGGCAGGCTTTCAAAAGGCACGTCCTGACTTCTCCTGGTGTGTGTGCTGCAAAGCTCAGTGTTAGCCAAAGTTAGCAGGAAAATGATCATACGCTCAGAGGTGCTGTCTGCTGTCTTGGTGTAGTCCGTTTTGCAGCACCTCGAGCGAAAACTGTTGGTCTGATCTGAAGAAGGGAGCTGCTGTGTGCAGTCCCCGAGGTGCAATGATAAAAGGAAGGAAAGAGCAATGTAGGTTCAAAGCTGGTGTAAAAAAATGAGGATCCTGTATTTGCTCTGCCAAGTTTTCACTGTTAAACTTCACCTAGTCAGACATGATGCCTGCTTTGAAAATTGCCAATGTGGTTTTTTTTGTAAGTCTTTGTATGTCAGTAGTCTGTTTGCTAGGTTAGGCACTGGCTTCCCTGAACTGTGGTACTGCGGGATCAGTGTCTTGTATGATTGTTTTTTAGTAAAATACATTTAGGCGGCTTCAAAATTATAAAAAACACCAATGGTATATTGACAGATTAGTTATACTGTTATTTTAAATACGACTCAAAATAATTTCACTGTTAGCCTGGTATGTGGTTTTCTGCTCAACTTAAATGCTTATCTTTACCAGTGTGGAGGAGTGTGTAGGGTTCTAGACCTATAACTGGAAGGCTGTGGGTTTGAATCCCAGGTGAAATACTGCTGTAGAACCATTAAGAAAGTTACTTCACCCAAATCTTTACAGTTGTAGATTTCATTGGAAATGTAAAGCAACTTGAAAAAAAAGAAAAAAAAAAAAAAAAAAAAACATCTTCTGCGGCACCAAAAAATGTTGTGGAAGAAGTGTTGTTTGCGGCAAAAAAGGTATGAGAAAACAAGAAGGGGTTTTTTTTTCCAAAACGCAAATGACAAACCCCTTAGGAAAGAGAAATAGTGCATAGTAAATATGTACTACAGATGTTAATATTGTTAGTAGTAACAGGATTCCATTGCTAGTGGTAGGTATTATTTTTATATGAGGATGGAAATAAACCTTATGGACACTTCTGTTTTTTCTCTTTTTAGAAGACATATCAGTTACTAGATCTTTAATTAAACTCTAGTTATTTTGCCATTGCTGAATCTACCTATTGCACTAGTGCCTTTTATTAATTGTGCCCTTGATGTGTGTACTTTTGTTTGGTTACCTGTTCATGTTTTTTGAGTTGCATATTCTTATTCTGAGGTCATTGAAATCCGTGACTTAATCTGTATGGAAGCCTTATGGAAGCCATCTGTGGGCCTGCTTTGCAATTTTTTTTTCAGAAATGGAAAATAAGACTGTGATCAGGCTTTTAGGGGAAAAAAAGACCAGCTCAAAAGACACTAGTTTCAGTTCCAGTGCTGTTTCTCTTTATAGACTCGCATGCTGTAATGTCTAACAGCTTTCGACTCAAACCATTCCGAGTTTCCACATCAGAGCTGAGCTACTTTTGACTCTGGCATCATGTTTAATAATCTCAATCACTCCTTACTCTGACAGTAAGCATGAGGAGAGAAACCCAGCTCCTGGACTGAAATGTCATTCGTCCGTGTTGCCACCTCTACACATCTCTTCTGGTAAAATAAATCAAAGAGTAACTCACACAGCACATTGGATTCTGCAAGCCAGTAGTCGGAGTTCGTCTGGTATGTGGACAGTTTACGTGAAAGGCAGTTCGCGGAAATGTGATGAGCTATGCTCAGGTTTTTACTTTAAAAGTACAAACAACGAGCCTGTGGGAATCCTTCAATATAAGGGTTTTATTTGTTATTTGCTTAGGTCAGTCTTTTATCAAGCGAAACACAACACACATGCTTACCATGCATTGATCAAGATGCATTAATTAAGTAATATATTGCTGAAATTAGCTCAGGATCAGTGCTGAAGTTGTAAATCTGGTCATGATCTGATTGGTAGATAAAGCACTCTAGTAACCTAATCTGGACTATGTTGTTACATTCTGATTATATTTATTTTAAATACTATGTTGCCTCTCTTTATTAAAAATAAAACAGTTTAGATAACTTTGAGAAAGAGTGTTGGATTCACAGGTTAGCTTTAAAGCGACAGCAGGATTTTATGGTCCTGTAAAACGCAGCGTACCGTCTGAAAGAGCTGCAGCCAAACTCATATTCTTGACAAGAACAACTTGAATTTCATTTGAATTGTAATGCCATTTCTTTCTGTAGCTCAGTTTATTTTCAGTTTCTACTTTTGAATTTGAAAGGGAAGTAATGCCTTGCCCACATTTTGTTTTTGTATGTAAATCTGTGCGTTCCTGGACGTTAGTCTCCATGGGCAGCCGGATTTAGTGGGAATGTAGGATAGCCTACGGCAGAAGAGCACAATCACAGATAAATTTGACTCTGGAACAGCGTGGGATGGTGAAGGTTCTGGACCTATCCACAGAGTGGGCTCATATCAATGCGGACAGTGTTTCTGTATCCTTGAAAAGCGCACTTCAGCTTCCTTACTCCAGTCAACCTGGTTGTTTGCGATTGCAGTATTCATGGGGCTTGGCCTGCGATGGTGGAGTCCAGGCTGGACCCAAGCCCACAAAAACTAGGATAAAATCCAGTCCTCCTAGCTCAGGAAGGCTTATGAAGAATCTTTTTTAACAATGTTTTATGGTGTGGGCTGCCTGAGAAAGAAGGACTGTTTATCTGCGATAGCCCTTCTAGATCCATATACAGAAGATTGCTGCTGTCTAAACACTACATACGAAGGGGTCCAGCTGCAGAGCGAGCAAGGGATGACATGAAATAACTTGGAAGACTGGCTGTGTATCTTGCAAAGATTGTTCTTTGCTTTTTTTGGTGGGACCTTTAAGAGCTTCTGTAGGGTTTCTCAGTACAGACGTTTGCAAACCTCTTCCCTTAATAGGAGGCAGGTGACACAGTGTGGGTTCCAGCTGGGGTTGTTTTTGCAGCCCAGAAAACTAAAATACAGCAGCCGCAAAAAAAAAAGTATCCAAAAAGCTCATGTTCACCAGGACACAATCAACAGCCACTCCCTCTCTGGGCTGGACTGGCTGCTCTATTTTCTGCCGGAGCTTGTGTGTCAGATTAAATGACAGTAATGAATCAGGCAGTCGTTGACGAGGGCGGCAGAGCAGAGCTCACCTCTGCCCCGAGATGAGTCTTTCAGGACTGCCGCACCTTCGCAAAACTTGGATGATGATGATGGTGTCAGGCGTGGGAGGAGGGTTAAATTCATTCATGAGGGGGCGATGGGGGGCGATGATATTGCTTTGGATTAAAGGCTCAAGACTGGGCTATGGTGAAGGAAGGTGAACTGGAACAACTCACTTTTCCTGGCCTTTATTATATGTTTTATATTTTTTAGATCCTATAAGCTCTACTTATAGGGAACGGAACTGTTTCATGGAAGTCGTGAATGAATGCCACATACTGTAGCAGATAGGATTGCAAGCTAATCCTCAAGAACGGGTTCCAAAGCGATCCCGACCTTTGGAAATCCAGTTGCCCTTCTGAATGAAGAGCTCCAGATGGTCGTGCTCGGTTTTGTAGGAGTGCTGCCTGGGAGGCGAAGCTTGCTGCTTTTCACTATCGCGAGCTCCTGCCTGCTTCATGAGCCACGTGCCTGAGACGGCACACTTCAGACTGTTGGCCAGGGCCTTCCTTTCGCTCCGTGATTTGCTACACAGATCACTGCGCTGCCTTGTCTGCTCTGCAGGGACAAACCGCTCGATGGGATGAGCCCCTCACTGCTTTATCTTCGGAACTAGGGCTAAATCAGTTCAAGCGCTGTGCCCGGCGTGTCAAATCAAGTAATCAAAACCTCAACCCACGAGACCCACAAGTCAAAACTCCATAACCAACAACAGTCCTCCTTTAGTTAGACCCAGGCAGCTTGCTAGACAACAAAACTGCCCGAAATTCGAAGACGCTGGAACACGTGGCATGCAGTTTTGCCTCAGTTGGCCCCTACTCTTCTGGTAGACAAGTGATGGTCTGCTGCCTGCACTGACATCTGACCAGG